CACCGGGGCGGGGGGGGGCTGCAAGGGAGGAGGAGGAGGAGGAGGAGGGGGCGGGGGAGAAGAAGAGACACCCCTTCTTCCTCTGAAAGAAGAGCAGGAAGGAGAAACTTTATTATTGCCTTGCCGCACAGCAGGGTCCCTCCCTCAGCCCCCCCAGCAGCACCGAGCTGCTCCTCCAGCTCGGGCAGGGGACGGGCTCCCCTTGGGCCAGGCACTTTTGTTTTTTTCCTGCCGCCGCCCGGAGCTGGGCTCGAAGTGCACCTCATCCAAAAAAAAGCCCTTCCAAAAATAAGCTGAGCCGCTCTGCTCTGGCCCCCGGGGGAAGCACACCCCGGGCTTAGCCCCGGTCGGGCTGCTCACAGGCCAAGCGCGGCGTCCGTGGGGCCCAGAGGAAAAACTTCGGGAGTAGAAAGCAGCTGTGCAGCACTCGGAACTTCGCCCCATGCCTGCGGGAAACAAAACCCGAGTCCCAGACCGCAGTTCTTGCCAGGCTCGAGCACACAGCCCGGAAAAGCCAAGTGGACCGTGCAGGGCAAGTCACCGCGGCGCAGCCAACAGCTCTTAAAACCACACAGGCTGCGGCTGCTGCACAGTAGAAGCGATGCTCGGCCTCTGAGACTGATGCCGCTCGGGGCTTGCGTCGCTGAAGGCGAAGCGTAGACGTGGCTGGCGTACAAAGCGGAAAGGAGCGGCCGAAAGGGGCCTCCCCCGGGGAAAGTTTATCTGTCCTTGGAGCCCAGCTTCTCAATCAGTTCCTGCAGAGGAGCCAACTCCCGCCTGTCGATCAAGTTGAATTCCTGGCAGGGAAAACAACACCACAAAAAACTAAAGGCGCCTCTCAAAGAGCTGCTGGAGAACAGGTCCGGCCACCGTACACGTGCTGGGAACCCGCCGTGTCGACGTGCGGCAGCCGCCTCTCCAGTTTCTCTGGAGAAATTCTAGCGTTTCAAGACAACAAAACTTTTTCTGCCGCGTCACCGAGAAATACCACGCTGCTCTGCGCGATGAGTTGCACGCGCGGTCACGGAACAGGCTGTTAAAATACTGAGAAAGAAAAAAAATAAATAGGTGCTGCTGCTATTTCTGAGTTGATTCTTGAGCTACAAACCCCCCAAGTTCTCCTCCGAGCCTGGTTTCTTTTGCTGTGGGCCGATAGCTAAAACCCAAGAGGGAAGTTCAAGCATTTACAGCCAACTCGGCCACGCTTCCTGCAAAAAAAACCCAAACCAAACCAAACCACACCGCCGCAGCTGCACGGTTCGCACGGCACGGAGGGTGGGAGCCGAGCATGTCTTCCAGCGCACGCCACAGCTGTAGATCTTCAAAGGGCGAGGAGACGCTTAAAATCCGACCCCCTTTAAAAAGCAAACGGGGAACGAGAAACCCCAGGGGCAGGCGACCGGCCACCGTTTCACAACTCACCTGCACGAAGAAGATAAAGTGCTTGAAGGAGGTGTTGAGGTGGGCCTCCTCCTGCAGCCGCATGACGGAATCGAAGTGCTGGTGGTAGATGTGGGCGTACACGCGGAACAGCCGCTTCAGGATCGTCTTGGCCACCGACATGAAGTTCTTGGGAAAAGGGACGCCTGAAACGCACCAACACGCACCGATAAACCCTTCAGTTTGGTCAGCAGTACCGAAGTGAGACGTCCCGGCAGCGTCTCGGTCCCGTACGTGAGGCCCGTTGCGTCGCGCAGCCGCGCTCACCGATCTTTGAAGGGAAGAGCGTTTCGTCATCCAGCTGGTCCTGCACCCACGTCATCAAGTAATCGATGTACTTCGGAGCCGAGCACTTGATCGGCTTCTTTATGTTGGTGCCGTCCGCCCAGTGGTACTCGTACCTGCGGGGCGAGGGAAGGAAAGTAAATTCGGTGCTCCGACAGGAAAAAAAATCGCATTTTCGGGCCCCGCGGCTTCCTCTTTATTTCAGTGAGGGACCCTGCAACACTCGTGCTGCTCAGAAGCGACGAGAGCAGCGCTTCGCCTTTCCGAGTTTCTCAAGCACAACAACAGAGTCAGAGTTAACCCCTCCATCCCGACCGCTCCAGCGATCGCCCTCGGGGTTTGACCCACTTCAACTTTTGTGGCAACCTCCTCCGACATCAACGTTTCCTTAAAACGCGACAAAAACTGGCCAGAAGGGGAAGCCTCAGGGCCATCGCCCACCACCTGAATTAATTCACCTGTGGCTTTCAGACACCCCCCAGGAATTTGGCGCTCCCTCTCCCCTCGCACAAGATGGCCGACTTCCCCGAGAGACCGTCCCCGGGGCCGCACATTAGCCAAAGGCTTTTGGAAGCCGCCGCCTCGAATCGACACGCGTGCTTATCGATCCCACGGCTCCTCCGAACCGGGGCAAGATGTTGACTCTAAGGCTACGTGACAACACAACCCGCTTCCTCTGCCATCTTTTGCAGAATCCTTCAAAAGCAGGGGGAAAAAACCCCATGTTTTGACTGTCGCCTCTCGACCGACGACAAGCGAAAACAAGCGGTGCCATTTAAACAGGAAGTCGTTACAGGAAACGTCCCCAAATATAGAAGCAGGAACTTGCAATCTAGATACCTCTGGGTAGAAAAGTGGGGCAGGATATTACAACGGCACCCTACAAATACTGCCCGCCGGCCAGACTCCACGCTGCGGCCCCGAAAAACAAAGAGCCTCGAACAACCTTACAAACAAGACACCCTGCTGCAGCTTCACCTCGACAAAATACACAAGCGCGGAACCAACGCGCAATATTCTCCCCCCCCGCGGGTATTCGCACCTCCTAAAAACAACAAGGTGCCCCAAATACACCTTCACTATTTCCTTTCTGCCTTCCGCGATGCCCCGACCTTCTCCTACAAAGCAGTTACGCTACGTCAGCTAGCTAAACGCGTCTCCTGAAATCCACCGCCCGCACGACGGGCGCCAGGGCGAATTGAGGGACGACAGCCCCTAAAACCGCCTCGGGTCAACACACGCTTCACGCCCTTTTCACGGCCTGCGCCAGGAGAAGCATGCTTCAGGCCCGGCTGATTCAACAGGGCAGGTGATAGCAGCCTCGATGCGGGGTAGGGGTCGGCAGGACCCAAAAGACACTTAGCCATTCCCTACTGCACGTACCCGTCTCTATAAGCATGAGGTTCCCTTCCCAGCTTTAACTTTCCGTGACGACGACAGCGTCGGGCTGCCCCCTCCTCCCTGCACGGCCATCGCACGCCACCGTACAGTAACCCGACCTGAGCATTCGCCTGCCTCACGTCCTGCCCCGTGCCGGCAGCAGCATCTTTAGAATCGCTCGTGCTCAGAAAAAAAACGCGCTACGGCCTCTCAGAGCACCGGCTCTGCGAGACGGCACATCGAGAGGTTTCTGTGAGGCTTTGACAGCGAGACCAGACGCTTCCAGTCATGTTAGATCTCTCATTTTCCCTAAAACAGCGAGACCAGACGCTTCCAGTCATGTTAAATCTCTCATTTTCCCTAAAACCATTTCAACGACGCATCTTTTCAGCTTCCAAACAACGTAGGGATCCGATCGACGGGGGGAAAAAAGAGATCCCCACGCACGCTTCCCCTGGACAGATACTCAACACGCCAGACAAACCGACGGCTACCAATGCCACGCAGCCCCCTTAACAGACAGCGTGGCTTCACGCGTGGGTGAACGACGCCGGGGGAGCACGATGCTGCGCCTCGACCCGATCCTGGACACGTCCCATCCTCTTCTTAGCTTCTTTCTACGCACGCTCGAGCAACCCGCGCACCCGCCTACTTCCCCACATTTAAATTGCGGCCGTAGACCGCAGTAAACTTCGTACCTCGGTCCTGCGGACATGACCGGACAGCTCGCCTCCGTGCAGAACTCCGTAATGGTCCCGTACAGCATGTTGATTTGGTTGAAGAAATCCACCGCTGGAAACGAAACGCATCGAGTTTACTCAAAGCGCAAACGCAAAGCGGACCGGAGGACCGGTTCGCTCTCGTTCGGCTGACGCAGCCTCCGAGGATCACCGTCGCGGGGGTGAACGTGCCGCAAAGCTCTCGGCGAAAACAAACATCCCCCTTCCGTACGAGGTCACGCGGCCGATGACTTCGAGACATTTCAACCATCTAGGAATTGGAATCGCTCCGTCAATTTTTCACCCGCCGGCTACTGCCCCTAGCCGATTTGTACGGCATGGAGCGCCACTTAGCTTTCCGTACCTCGGAAACGACTGCTTTAGGTTCCAGGCACCTTTAAAAAATGACAGCACCTCAAAACCCCGACTGATTTTGACGATACGGGAGACCTTCCTTAGGTTGAACGCTTGTGGCCTGACTTGCTGTTTTCCATTGCTCAGAACTACTTCTTTCTCCACTAACCTCCAAAGAAACAAAAGTTCAAGGCCAGGGAGAACGACTGCTAAAAGCAAAATAGATTTAAGAAACAAAAGTTCAAGGCCAGGGAGAACAGAACGACTGCTAAAAGCAAAATAGATTGGTAATATTTGGCTTTTTTAACCACGCGTACAGCAATAATAAAAGGAAAAAAGAAAACAAAAAAGAAACTCCACAAACCTAAAGTTCAGTGGAGAATACGGTTCCGCTTTTTCCCTAGACTATTCGCTGTCACCATTTTTGCAGCCGACAACGCTAACTTTGTAATTCCAAATATCAATACTCGAGGCTTACTCCCCAGTACAAAAATAACCATTCACAAACCTAATCGCCTTTGCAAGTCTGAACTCAAAAAACCCCACCCCGAAACCACAACGGCACGGGTTTGTTTCTCGCTTTTTGCACGCTTCAGGAGCTTCAGGAGCGCAACGTCCCTTCGACCATCTGCCGTCGGCACGTCACGCCGCTTACTTTCCTTAGTTTCCCAACTCGGTTCCCTAAACAGAGCACGCCTGGGATAAGAATTTCATTTGGGAAGTTTTGGGTTCTTCTAAGGATAAAAACCAGAGATATTTGGTTATCCCACTCCACCTCCACGCTCGGGCGGATCCCTCTTTCATAAGGCTTACTGTTAACTGCGATCCACTCGTTAAGGTCCTCTCCCTCCGGCAACATAACCGCCTGTCTAAGGTTACCGCTCCCCAGAGTCGCTTCCGCATGTTTCAAGAGTTCATACTGATGGGAGCCTTCGGGAATATTCTTCTTGGGTTTGAATGTTTTCGAAGATCGACTCCCACTGACAAGAGAGAAGACATTTCCAGTTAATCCTTTAACAGCGTTCCCTTCCCAGAAGCGCTTCCCGTATTATCCCTCACCACCCGGCGCTTAACCGGGGTGACGCCGGCCCTTCCCCGTTTCCCCCGCCGTAGGGGCGGCCAGATCCTACGTGCAAGCCGAAGCGTTTCTGACGGCGCCACAAAAAAGCTGCCTGCACGCTTCCCTCTTTCGCCTGCCCTTTTTAACAACCACGAACGTTCGGTGCAAAGGCCCGAAGACTCATCAAGCAACAGTTGCTTTCGATCACGGAAAGAAAAGCCCATGTAACTCCGCCGGGGAATGAAACAACCTGCCGACTACCGCTAGGTCAGTTTGACAGCGGCAAATATTAGACGCTCAGCACTCAAACGCACCGTAGGAAACAGCTAGCTAAAAATAGCGACTTAATAGACTCCAGCCCCAAAATGCAAATCATCGTCGTAATCTTCCCTTGCTGCGTCGTACCGACAGCTGTGCTCAGCAGCCGAGCCATCGCACAACTCC